GTCATCATGGGGAATAACTACCACCAGCTGCCCAGCCACTCAACCAGGCCCAGCCAAGTTGACACACAAACATAACCACCACATGTGGGTTCTGGAAAAGGGGACATTTGCCAAACTTGAGACTGGAGCACGTTTTTACAACTGCATTGAAACTCGCTGCCACCGAGTTGAGTCTGATGCATGGCAAGCCCATGTGTTACAGAGTGGTATTGGTCCATAGGGTTTTCTTGGCCGTAATCTATATGGAGGCAGATTGCCAGGCCTTTTTTCCATGGCACTGCTGGGTGAGTCTGAACTGCCAACCTTAAGGTTAGTAGCCACAAACCTTTTGCACTGCCCAGGGACTCCACAACTGCATTACACTCTACGAATGAAGAACAAAGGGGTTCACAAGGAGACATGCTGAGCGTTTTTCAGTCCTACTGCAATATACAACTAGCTCTTAATAAAAAATATATTTGCCAAACAGTAATTACCAGTAAATCTGGGTTAGCAGCTAAAAGATGAAGAACTTGACACAAAAGCAATGACTACAATTGACAGTTCTGGCAAAAGCAAGAACGAGTAAAATCGAGTACAAGAATTGCTTACCGATCTTCTTCAGAGAGCTGGATGGACCTTCTGATAATTGAATACGGATGGCGGGGAGCCGTTGACAAGCACTTACAGCCTGTGTGGTTGGCCACTTTGACGGGCACTAATTCAGGTACTGATGTCAAAGGTACTGATATCTCGAAGAGCTATAGCAGAAAAGATGACCATGAATACATCTGTAGTTCTAAAAAGCAGTTTCGACAGTCCGCATGATTTCTTTGCCCTTTAAGGTAGTGACTCCAGCAAAGTTGGCCAGTAAGAGTAGAACCAATAATGATAAGGAGTGGCATGCTGCAAAGTAGCTGGGAGTCAGGAGGACAGGGCTTTGTCAACTTGACCAAGTGATTAAGTTTGGTCAAGTCTGTTCACTTTTCAGTCTCTCTCAAAAACAAACAAACTAACTACAATCATGTTCATTCTGACTCATAGCGACCCCATTGGGTTTCAGTCTGTCTAGTACTCTATTAATCCATTTAGCCCTTAGGACAACATTATGGGGTGGCTGTTTCATCATCCTCATCCTTACAGGTGAAGAAACAGACATGCAGAGTGGTTATGCAATTTGCCTAAAGTCACGTAACTATTGATCAGGAAAGTGGGGATTTGAACTCAGGAAGTCTACTCTAAAGCCAGAGGGAAAGCCGTCAATGCTTTTTGAAATGAAATCGATGCAACCAGGAAAAGCAAGGTGGGACCTTGGCCAGCAGGATTTAGAGAATGCCCAGTGTTTTGCTTCCAGAATGCTTCTATGATGTATAGGAATCTGAACTTGATTTTAATGCATTGTCTATTTAATCAGCATTCCATGTAATTCTTAGTACATGGTAGATTCATTTATTCACTTTGTTTCTAGGAGATAATTCATCAGATAGTCCACAACTTTGGGGTGAGAGGTAGTTTTTGGTTTTTTTAGAAACCACTATTACGATGTTCAAACATGCATATTTGAAAAGCAACGCTGCTGTACACTTACACTAAAGTACATTCTTTAAAATTCATCATTTGTTGAGTGGAGCAGTCAAAATAAAGTACTCAACTATTTAATAAGTGGAAACAATCCATTAAAACTGTGTTTATTCTGATCTTTCCATATGTCATAGAGCTTCCATGAGTCTACGTAAGAGACCATTTTTAGAGTGTTTACTTTGCATGAACTTCACCTTCTTGTGCAATTTTCCAGCTATACTCCAGGGAACAACAGGGTCACGAGCTAAAGCCCCTTCCATTAGGCAAGCTTTGTTTCTAAAAACAGTTGAGGCTTAGTCATACTTGTGTCTTTTTTTTCCCCAAAATTGTCAAACAGTAGAGGTCAGAATTTTCACAAGTTCCAAGATTCTGTAAAATTATTTAGACAAAGAAACTCTCCAGTTTGAGGGATATTTTGGGTGGTGGGGAGGGAACACATGGAAGGGTAGTTAACCTGTTAGAGAGGCAGCGTCTGAGATAATTACCCACTGCAGACATATTCAGTGCCTGTGGGATGCTATGGTGCTTTCTCTTCACAGTCATGAGGAGAACAGACTGCATAGGCAAATGGGACAATTAAATGAATATATCAACATACACGAGGAATTTGCAACATATAACCAAAGGGATGGAGTTTGACTTGCAAATTTCTAGTATCATTTTCCTAAGTTTGTTATTATTGCTCTCATATGAAGACTTATTGTGTTTCAAGCCAATATTGTCATGATAGAAAGAAAAACTATTGAGCAATGGCAAAGGGGGTTTTAGAAGATGGAGAAAGAGGAATTGTTTCTTCCATGGGGACTGCAGAATGATTTTCAAAGGTTTTTGCTGTTGGATGTTCTCCATTTGTCCCTCCAGAGACACCGTCCTCTTGCTTCCTTTTTCTACCTGGCTCTGTGGCCCCAGAGGCCGGCCTCTACCTATAGTCCTCTTGCCTTCCCCAGTCCCTACTTCACCTCTCTGCTAAGCTAACTGGCTTATTTTGGCCGATGGCATGATGAGCGCTCCTCCAGTCCAGCAGCCCTTTCTCCATTTCTGTCTGGGTGTCCATAACTGCTCCCTCCACTTGCCTCTGCAGTCTAAGGGTGGGATTGCTAGCCCTGTTCCTCGCCATCCCTGCACCATTCCCCTAACTCTGTCCACACTCTTCATTAAATTCTTCTCCATCTCTGCAACTGAGCAATGCAGACTCTAATGGACACACCAGACAGTGCAGCTCACTTCATCCCTTTTAACATCCTGTTTCAGTACCTTCCATATGATTGTTTCAATTCTTGACAGTGTAGCATGAGAGAGACAGTAACTAAGAAGAGTTTAGGCTCTGGAGCCCCATGGGCCTGGGTTTGAATCCCAGCTCTGCCTGTCCCTAGACGTGTGACTTTGGACAGGTTACCTCTCTGAGCCTCAGTTTCATCATCTCTAAAGGGGCATAATAAAATATCTTTGCAGCCTTATTTCAGGGATTAAAGGAGATAACACACAGAAAGCATTAAGCACATTGCTTGGCAACAAGGTTAAGTGTGGCTACCAACACCGTTATTGTCACCCGGGCTTGGGGGCAGGCCCACTTGCTGATGTCCTCGCACCTGCTTGGAAATGTACGAGGTACTGGTGTTGACACAGACCAGGCTCTCTTCGTTGCAGCAGCCGCCACACCGGAACACGTTCACGCAGGGAGGCTTGAAGAACGTGTCGGTGGTCTGTCCCAGCTCTCGGGCCACCTCCACGCACGTCTCTCTAGGGATGCACTGGGTTCTTTGCCACTCCTCGTCTATAACTGCAGAGAGGAAGCACATCGGGGCGCCCCATGCCCATGTGGGCTGGGGTTATGCTGAACACGACCATTTTCATATTTCTAACCAAAACCAAACGAAACTCACTGCCATCGAGTCATTTCCGACTCATGGCAACCTCTCTGGGTTTCTGAGGCAGTATCTCTACGGAAGTAGATTGCCCGATCTTCCTTTCCTGGAGTGGCTGGTGGGTTTGAATTGTGAGCCTTCTGGTTAGCAGTCAAATGCCTTAGGCACTATGCCACCAGAGCTCCTCCCTAGTGCTTCCTTATTTCATTGGATGGAGTTCTTAGTCACTCTAACTGAAGACTGTTTTCAGGAAAATTAAAACCCAGATCTGTGTTCCTTCCCATTTCTACTATACTTCTATACCAAACCAAAACCAAACCCACGTCTCTCAAGTTGATTGCGACTCATTGCAATCCTATAGGATGGAGCAAAACTGCCCCCTAGGGTTTCCAAGGCTGTCAATCTTTACGGAAGCAGACTGCCTCATCTTTCTCCTGCAGAGCACCTGGTGGGTTGGAACCACTGACATTTTGATTAGCAGTTGGATGCTTTAACGACTGCATCATCAGAGGTCCTTATACTCATAGAATATAATCATGTTATTTTTCTTTGTAGTGTATAAAACCACTGGATACATCTAGAAAAGCTGGCTAATAAAGCAGTAACAGAGAAATAACATATAAATGCTATTTATTAAGCAATTTATAGGATACAGCTCAATGGAATTGTGTCTATCCACCAAGGTATGGGTAGATTTTTTTAGCACCATCAAGAAAAATATTTCTGTTGGTTTCTTAAGTAGCTATACTTGTGGCCATCGAGTTGATTCTGACTCATAGTGACCCAAAAGGCCAGAGCAGAACTGCCCCCTAGGGTTTCCAAGGCATGTAATCTTTACAGAAGCACACTGCCACATCCTTCTCCTGTGCAGCAGTCAGTGGGTTCAAACCACCAACCTTTCAGTTAGCAGCTGAGTGCTTAACTACAGTGCTACCAGGGCTCCATTAAGTAACTATAGTAGGATTAAAACCTGGCAAAAACACACAAATGGAAAGTTAAAAGAAATTAATCTTCCTATAAGTCAGAGCTCCTTATCTGTAAATGCCCAATACCCAACTTTAACTATGATGATGAAATAAGTCTGTTAATTTTGATGACACAATATTCTGGTCAGTCTGGCTAATCTGAGGGAACAATAAAAAGAAAAAAAGCATCTGGGAATAAAAAGAAAATTACATACATGCTTTTAAAACAGTATTTGTTTTTCTCACATCTTATTTTTTAAATTAGACTGTGACACTTTGATACTTAATATTATATAGGCCTTTCTGCAGATATTTTGGGAAAAGATCCAATGATATGATATACCCAGTGTTTAAAGGCTTTCTTTCAGCTTGCCATGGAACTGTAGTTTATTATATATTGGAAGGGTTGTGTGTGAAAAGTGTCTTGTGGTAGGCCACTTCTAAACTGATTCCCAAAGATCCCTTCCTCCTAGCAGTCACTCCCTAGAGTAAACTTATGCTCGTGAGTGGGTGCTGGGCTTAGTGACTTATTTCTATGAACCAAATACAGCAACAAGTGATGGGATATCACTTCCATGATTTAATACAAAAGACTGACTTCCATCTTCCTAGCAGTCTCTCTCTTCTCTTACTGGCACCTCACACTCTCTCTTATCATCTGGGTTTGTGTGCTTTGATGGAGCTAGCTACCATGTTGGAAGGGCCCATGTAGCAAAAACTGAGGGCAGCCTTTGGCCAACAGCCAGCCAGGAACCAACACCTTCAATCCAACAGCCTATGAGGAATTGAATCCTGTCAAAACTACTGATAGCAAGAATTGTGAAGATGGCGCAGGACTGGGGAAGTTTTCGTTCTGTGGTACCTGGGGTCGCTATGAGTCAGAAACGCCTAACAGCAACAAAACCACTGAGTGAAATTGGAAAGATCCTGTCACAGTTAGACCTTGAGATGAACGTGGCCCAAACTGACACCTTGAATACAGCCTCCTGAGAGACCTTGAAGCAGACACATGGATCTTATCCATGTCTGGGTTCCCAACTCACAAAAACTGTGAGATCAAAAATCTTTTAAGCCAGTTAATTCTTGGATAATTTGTTATGAAGCTATAGATAACCTCTTATCCATTTTTACCTTATCTACAGTAATCGGTATCACTGTGGCTGCGATGATGGGCTCAAGTATAGCAGGGATTGTGGGGCTGGCACGGGATCGGGCAGTGTTTCGTTCTGCTGTGTATGGGGTCACTATGAGTGGGAAACGACTCGACGGCACTTAACAACAACAACACAGTAATCTGTATTGCTCTCTCCCCAGATTTTTCTGGATTCCCATATATATTAGCATATTTCTACCTCTGCTTGAAGTGTACAGATACAATATCACTGTTTGAGATGTACCCCACCCAGTCTCTTAACTATTCTCTTAAACCATCTTTTCTGTATTCCTTTTCCATCCCCCCTTCCTCCCAATTTTCCTCATATGTTGCTCCTTCAATCACTGAAAACACAAAATACATGATGTTTGGACAGCTGAGTAACACTGAATATATTGCACAATTTACCCAAGCTTTGTTTTTTTTCCTAATAAAATCTGGTATCATGAAAAACTTTTGAACATTTTCTGATTATGAATATTTACATAAAAAGCCTGAAGGCTATAAACATGAGACATGAATTACTCAATTAAGCATTAATGAATTATTTAAAACTGCCATCGAGTGGAATCTGACTCATAGCGACCCCTTCTTGGGTTTCCAGGGCGGTATCTTTATGGAAGTAGATTGCCCAATCTTCCTTCCAAGGAGTGGCTGGTGAGTTTGAACTGCCAGCCTTCTGGTTAGCAGTCATTTAAGTCACTATTATGAATCATGAATCCTTGAAGAAATAAGTAATCTACTTATGACATGGCAACATTCTTTGTTTAAAATTCCCCTTCAATGTTACTTTCCATTTGCTTTTTTTCTTCTCATAAAAAACTAACTTTTGAAAGTTGGAGCTGGTAAGATTTTAATCAAAATCAATACAATTATGATCAATGCCACCAAAGTCTTCATAGCTCTACTATTGTTTACTACTGCCCCGTAGGACTTCTTGCCTCATTGAACTAGCTTGAACCCATGTAATACACCAATTTAATTATTTATTGCTTCTAACTTCAGCTAGATGAGCCCCCATATAAATAAGAGAAATGACAGAGTTCTCACTTCCATGTTTTTTTGTTTTTTTAATACTTCCCTCCTTAGAAAATGTCAAGGTCAGTGACCGTTTCTATCACCTAGTCATGGTTTTATGGGAATGCTAGTCTACCTCCACCTTCACAGACAAACTCCAAGCTCACCTCAGGTCCTCTTACAGGTAACTTAGTTAAGTCCTTTTATCCTGCACATGAGGTCCGACCTCTTTGCTTTCATGCAGTCCATGCTACTTCAGCACACACAAAGAGCTAGAGCCTCAAACCCCTGGCTAAAGTGGGTTCTAGGTCGTTGTTCCAACTGTTTCAACTCATTTAGACACACAGTAATACACATGTGCACAAAGGATCACTCATGTCTGTGGTGCGGCTGATGGATTTGGCTCGACCTATGCCCAGTCTTCCCACAGCCAACAATGAAGGCCGATGCAACCTCATCATATATTTACAAATGGAAAAAAGAAAGACTAGAGTAGAGAGAAAAGAATAATTCTGGCTTCATGGTCATTTTTGGTTATGTAATTCATACAACCAGTTACCAGGTTAGCATATGTTAACCAAATCTAAAAGGCTAACTCAGTAATGCCACAGTGGCTTCTTGTGTCATTTTGACACATCGTCAGAAGAGTTAAATGCCTATTTGGAGACCATACAACTTTCTTTGGTAAGCAGTGCAATTCATTATGGCACAGTCCATACACATGACAGTTTCCTTGGAACAAACAACCATCCCTTACTAGGGACGGATCATTTCCTTTATTTCAAATAATGTTATTTTCTATTCTGGAGTCTTGATTATTTTGTCTAGAAGGATTTTCCCCCTCTATTATTCTCCTAGTAATACCAGTCTCCATTATTACAACTCAGCTTCCAATTTCCACTTTTTCATTTTTACTAAAAGTCACAGAATTTTGAAGATAATAAAGCTTTACCTAATCTATTGGCATTTATCAATGTATGTACGGGAAGTGAATGATCTTTGTTGGTGAATG